GTTGTTGTTGTTGGTGTTGTTGTTGTTGTTGTTGTTGTTGTTCTCGTTGCTGTTGAGCATGAATTACTAAGCGATAGCTATAATTGGACCCCCCAGGCGCGTTGACGCTCTCGCCTCGGCGCCGGCTGCATTTTCATTGAAAATGAGGTTCACGCTCGACCAGTTTTTTTGGAGGGGGGCAAAACTGCCCCCCCAACAATAACAACAACAACAACAACAACAACAACAACAACAACAACAACAACAATTACTAGCACGTGGGGACACTCCGTTCTCACCAGTGCCAGGGTTTTCATAGGAGGCGGGCAATACCCCCACTTTGTGGGGGGGCCGGTTCAAGCTCTACCAAATTTCCAAACGACTCTTCGCCACCACCCACACCCAGCTTCCCGCCCTATGACGTTCGGACACTTCACTTCGTGGCATGCGGACGACCGTGGCTACTATTCAGGGCCCCGCGGCCGACGACGACGGCGTGCGCGCGCGAAGAAAAAACGAATGTGTCCCGCATGGTATTATTTGACAGGGATGATGGCCCTGGCAGGTGCGCAACCGTTGTTGCAGAAGTTCGAAAAAGTTGCTCGCAAAAGCCCGTTTGACAGAAATGTTTAAAAAGTGTTGGGTTTCCTACGAATCCGCAAGAGCGCGCGGGATGAAATTTTGACATTTTTTTTTTTTTTTGAAAAACCATTGGTTTTTTTTGATGTTTTTATGTTAAAATCGCTACGAACACTAAGGTTTTGGAAGGATTTCGTCTTGCGCGCGCGAATGTCCACTTTACCTTATTTTTTGCAAGGGATTCTTGAAGTTTGGTTATGTTAGAACAAGAAATGTCATTTTATTGTTTTTTGCAAGGGAAAGCGGGGGGGAACAAAACAACCGGATCTGGATCACATCGTTTTGCCTGAGACTTCCTCACGAAAATGATGAAAATGTGGCTGCGGCCTAGGCGCGGCGGGGGGGGCGCGCACCAGGGGTCCCAACAATAATTATTCTTAAGAAGAAATAATGTTCAAAAAAAACAACAACACCAACAACAACAACAACAACAACAATTTTAAAGCTGTTCGCCCTGATCTGCTCGAGTGTCCAATAACGCGTATTTCCCAAGCCCTCGATACCCGCCCTCTTCGTCTTCGATCGAACCCCTTTTGGGGGTAGACCTTTCTTCCCTGCAGGCCGGGCCCCGGCAAGCGGCGGGGCGGCCGCGGACCGTCGGCCTGGCCAACGGTAGCGGTGATCGGCGGGGCGGCCGCGGACCGTCGACCCGACCCCAAGAGGGACGGACAGGGGACCGACCACGACGACGACGACGACGACGTCGAAGACGACGGCGACGACGACGACGGCGACGACGACGTCAAGCGAAAGCGAGAGCGAGAGAGAACGACAGCAGGGCCACGAAGGACACGAAGTAGGCCACGAAGGGCGACAGCGGGGACACGAAGGGAATGCGTATGGGGTCACGAAAAGCGCGAACGAGCGGGGGCCACGAAGTGCAGATAATGCGGGGCCACTGAAGGCAACGATGGGGCCACTGAGGGTAGCAACTGGGCCACGTGGGACAGTGAGGGGGACACAAATGTCGACAGCGGGGTCACGAAGGGAATGCACATGGGACCACAACGGGCGCGACTCCTGGGTGCCTGGGTGTCGGGAGCGCGGCGCTTGGGCAAATTGCAAGAAATTCCAACGCAAGGCTATTCTTCAGTAAGTTGCAGGCAAGTCTCCAGCGAGAGCGCGACTCCAGAGCGCCGGGAGAGCGATTCCTGAATAAATTGTAACGAAGTCCTAAGCGAAAGCGCGATTCCTGAATAACATGCGAGGAAGTCTCGGGCGGGAGCGGGGGTCCTGGCTAAATTGTGAAGAAATCTGAAGCGGGAGCCGTGTTGTTGTAACCCCAGGGCCAGGGGCCCAGTTTGAGCATCAAGAGTTTCCATGTCAAAAAACATTGTGCGAGCGTCAAGGGGCACACTTTGATTGAGCAAAAACAGTATGCACCAGTGGGGGGGATCAACAATAATTATACTTCAGGAATGAAAAATTAACACCAACAACAACAACCGTAACAACAACCGTAACAACAACCGTAACAACAACCGTAACAACAACCGTAACAACAACAACAACAACAACAACAACAACAACAACAGCAACAACAACAACAACCGTAACAGCAACAGCAACAACAACAACAACAACAACAACGCTCCCGCTCGAGACTTCCTCCCTTTTTGTTCAGGGCTGGTGTTTTGGCTCGCCGCCGAAAACCGCCGTCCTAACAAAACCGGCGCTGCCGCTTGAGACTTCCTCCCGTTTTACCTTGGACAGGCGCGCTACTCTTTCTCTCATCGGCGCCGCCCCCAACAACAACAACGATCCCGCTCGAGATGTCCTCCCTCTTGTACTTGAGGCGGTGCTCCTCCTCGCCACCGAAAGCCGCCGACCCGACAAAACCAACGCTCCCGCCCGAGACGTCTTCCCGTTTTACGCTGGAGACTCTCTTTTGAATTTGCGCCGCTCTCAGCAAGAACAACGCTCCCGCTCGAGGCTTCCTCCTTTTTTCCTCAGGACGGTACTGTTCCTCGCCGCCAACAGCCCCCGTCCCGGCAAAAGCACGGCTCCCGCTCGAGACTTCTTTCTTTCTTTCTCAAGGCGGTGTTCCTCCTCGCCGCCGACGGCCGTCGTCCCAACAAAACCAACGCTCCCGCTCGAGACTTCGTTTTGTTTTACGCTGGGCTAGCGCCCTACTCTCTTCAGCATTAGCGCCGCTCCCAGCAACAACAGCGGCCCTGCTCGAGACTTCCTCCTTTTCTATTCAAGGCCAGGTCGTTGCCTCGCCGCAGACAGCCCCCATCCCCACCAAGGCAATCCTGTCGCTCGATAGTTCTTTATGCTTTACCCTTGGCTGGGGCTCCACTGGCGGTCTCGCATCGGCGCAGCAAGTCGCGGGCATGCGATTTCGAAGCGGGATCTGTTGGAATTCTTCGGGTGAAATGAAATCAAGACCTCATTGGGCGGGAAATCTGGGAATGGGAGTAACGGGCCCCGCTGTAGAACAATAGCCCCCCATGCTGGGGATCCCGCTCCCGTCTGAGACTTCCTCACAATTTACTCAGGAACGGCGCTCCCGCTTGAGACTTCTTCGCAATTTAATCCAGGCTTCCCCGCAATTTCATCAAGACCCCCGCTCACGCCAGAGAGCCCTTCACATTTTATTCAGGAGATGCGCTCTCGCCTGTGTTCCATACAATGTATTCAGACATCGCGCTTTCGATGCTCAGAAAACACGCTGGGCCACGGACGCCGTTACAGTTTACTTGATATTCGCGATCTCGCCATACTCAGGCATCCCGCTTGAATGTCCCACCCGCCCGGCCCGTCCGTCAGGGGATCGCCCGCCCGTCGTGGGCTCCCGCCCGAGACGTCCTTCAGGAACGGCGCTTTCGCCCAGGACTTCCTCGAACATTCACGCTCTTACCTTCCTGCTCCTCCTCCCTCTCCCTCCTCCCTCCTCCCTCCTCTCCTCCATTCTCCTTCCCTCCTCTCGTCCCTCATCCTTATGCCTCTCTGCCTTCTCCCCTCTTCCTCCTCTCCCTCCTCCCTTCTCCCTCCCCTCTCCTGCTTGCAACCTCCCTCCCTCTTTCTATATATCCCCTCTATTTCCCTCTCTTTCTCTGCCTGTCTTATATGTCATTATTTTTTCTTTCTCTCTCTCTCTCTCTGCCTCTAATCAACCGCCCTCCTCTTCGCTCCTCCTGTCCTGGCGTTTTCCCTCTTCCTTCGTCCCTCCCCCTCCCTTCCTCCCACTCTCCCTCGTTGTCCCCCTCCTCTCTTTGCAGGGCCCACACCAATTCCAATGGCTGGCACATGTACGCCCGCGAAAGATTGTCCGCCCGTTTAGTTTTGCCCACCTGTCTAAGCCCGCCGCCCCCCGCAAAGAGAAAGCATCCCCCCAAAGGGGGTGTGACCGAAGACAAAAAGGGCGGGTATCGAGGGTGTGGGGAACTCGTTTTGAATGACACGCGGGCAAGTAAAAGCGAACAGTCTTATATGAGTGTTGTTGCTGTATATATATATATAGATATATAAGTAAATGTGCACACATACATTTGCACGTAGTGATGTTGTGCATGTTCCGCCGCAGATGTTTCGGCTACGCGAAAAAGAAAAGCCCTGGGAAAGAGGGATTTTTGCTGCGCGGCTTTTCTGGGGGACCGCGGGGGGGCCAAGCTTGGGCGCGCACGCCGCTGGTACTGCTTCGCACGCACCCATTTTTCATCTGTTTGTCGTTGTCTTGTTTTTTCTTCGGACCGCCAGATCAACGTTCGTTTTCGCGGCACACATGCCGAATCTATACGATGGCGGCGCTTGCCCCCAAACGGCTGGAGGTCGCCAGACCGTTGCCAGGGGCACGCGAAAAAGTCCCGTCGAATGTGGAAGTGCGTTTCCTTGGACACCCCTCTTGGGGACCCATCTTGGGACCCATCTCTGCCCGCACTAATAGGGAGCCCACAAAAGACGTACGCGCCCAGCTATGTAATTACATGAACACGGCCCCTTGACCCTCGAGACCTGCCGCGCGATACGAACATTATTCGCGCAATGCGAACTCTCGAAACCAGCGTGGATTCATGTAAATTTACGTCCTTCTTTCGCTCCTGAACTAAAGGCCACTCCGGCGAAGGGTCACCCCTGCGCGCCGCCGAGTGCTTCCTGGGGGGACGGCACCGGCGGCTGGCAGGCTGCCCCCGCCGCCCGAGCACCGAGAGAGAGAGAGAGCGGGCGTCTGCCGCGCCCCTCTCTCCGCGCCGCCCCCGGGGGGGGGGAAGGCAGGAGGGGGAGCAGGGCGGCGGGCGGGCGGGGGCGGCATCGCTCCTGGAGGATCATCGTCGATGCCGTCGAGATCCGACGTTCGAGGTCGCCGTCGTCGTCGTCGTCGTCGTCGTCGTCGTCGTCGTCGTCGTCGTCGTCGTCGTCTACCCCCGCTGGCGGCGCGCCTGCGCGGTCTGCGAAGCGAAGTCCCGGAGCGCCCCGATCGAGGCCTCGGCGGCCTGGCGCGCCTTGGGGCGGGGCCGCCTCCGCGCGCCCCTCCCGCTCCCGCTCCTCTTCCTCCTCCTTCATGTTCCTTCTCTTCCCCCTCCCCCTCCTCCTCGTCCTCGTCCTCCTCCTCCCCCTCCTCCTCCTCCTTTTCCTCCTCCTCCACAACTCAATATGAATACAATACTACTCTCCCTCTTCCCCTGATGACAGAATGGGAGTAACCGACCCCCCCCGCGCACTGTTCTTTACACACACAAGTTTCCCCGGAATTGGGTTTTCGCCTGCATGTTTTTCCAAAATGTTGCTCTCGCTGAGGCGCCGGCCTCATTTTCGGGTCCCGCTCATTTCCGCCGGCGCCTGGGCTGCACGCCCGAGCCGGCGCCCGGGCCGGCGCTCGGGCCGCCGGGTCCGGAGCCGGTTCGGGCCGCCCCCGGAGAATGGAGTTCCGAGGCGGCGCCGAAAAAAGGCCGTTCTAATACACATTTTCCAATTGAAAATGCTAAATGTCTGCTTCCGGCGCCCAGGAGGCCTCCTGGGCCGATTCCGACGCCCGGGCCCGCGCCCGGGCCGGCGCCCGAGCCGGCGCCCGGGCCGGACGCCCGAGCCGGCGCCCGTCCAGAGCCGGTTCCGGCCGGCGCCGAAAAAAGGCCATTGTAATACGCATTTTTCTTTTGAAAATGCTCAATTTCTGCTTCCGGCGCCCTGGAGTCCATGGAGGCCTCACGGGCCGATTCCGACGCCCGGGTTGGCGCCCGAGCCGGCGCCCGGGCCGGACGCCCGAGCCGGCGCCCGGGCCGGCGCCCGGGCCGGGTCCGGAGCCGGTTTCGGCCGGCGCCGGAAAATCGAGTTCCGAGGCGGCGCCGAAAAAAGGCCATTCCAATACACACATTTGAAAATGCTGAATTTCTGCTTCTGGCGCCCGGGAAGCCTCCCGGGCCGATTCTTGCGTGCTTCCGCTCGTTCCGACCTCCTCCTCCTCCTCCTCCTCCTCCCTCCTCCTCCTCCCCCCTCCCCCCTTCTCCCCCGCGCGCCCCTCCCGCTCCCGCTCACCTCTCCTCCCGTTTTTGTTTGTACCCCGTCCTCGTGCGGCCTTCTGCCCGCCCTTGCACCCCCCTTCTCGCCCCGCCGCCGCTGCTGCTGCTGCTGCTGCTGCTGCTTCAGCTGCTGCTGCCGCTGCTGCCGCTGCTGCTCCGCCTCCAGTTCCTGCCCTCCCCCTGCATCGTCCTGCGGGTGCCTGGCGCCTGGAGGCGAAAAGGAACCGTTTTGCCTCCAGGCCAAACGGTTCCTTTCGGCCCATCATAGGGCCTGTCGGCCCTGGGGGGGCAAGCGACTCCTGGGGCATTTGTTCCAGGAGCCGCTGGCTGGTGGGGAAGTGCTGCTTCATGTGAAAGGCAAATGGTAAAAAAAAGGCGTCAGCAGAAGAGATGGAGGAGAAAGAGAAAAGAGAGAGAGAGAGAGAAGGAGAGAGAGAGGGGGAGAGGGAGAGAGAGGGAGAGAGAGAGAGAGAGAACAACAAAAAGATGAAGCGAGACAGAGAGAGAGAGAGAGAGAACGAGATAGACAAGGAAAGGGAAGGAAGAGGGGAGGGGAAAGCTGCGCAGCAGGCGGTTGCGGCGGCTGTGAGAGGTGCGCTGGAGAGTGGCGGCGGCGAAGCGTCTCCGCGGGGCCACGCTCGTGGGCGCCGCCTGCCCGGAACGGCCGCGTCTCCAGGGGGCCTCTCGCCCTGCTCGTGCGCGAGCCACCCGCGGGCGCTCCCCGGGGTCTACGACGGGATCCCTCGCGCGCAGGCAGGCGTGGGGTTCCCAGTGCGTTGGCCTGGAGGCCGCCTGTGGGGGGGGGGGCTCCACCGAACGCGGGTGGAGGTCTCCTCCTCCTCCTCCTCCTCCTCCGCCTCCCTCCTCCTCGTCCTCCTCCTCCCTCCTCCTCCCTCCTCCTCCTCCTCCTCCCCCCCCTCCTCCTCATCTTCCTCCTCCTCCATCTCCACCTCCTCCTCCGCGGGTGGAGGTCTGAGCACGCCGCGGTGCAGGAGGTGGCGTGGTGCTCGCTGGGCGGTGCCAGTCGCGCCAACGTGGAAGTCACCGGGGCCTCTCCGCCTGCCCATGCGAGGCCCCCACAGGCGTCCACTGGCCCCGCGGCTGGTACCCTCACGTGCCAAGCAGGTGTAGGTACCCCGACCACGAAGCGGGTGGCCGCCCGTGGGGGTTCCGTCGGGCGTGGATGATTTTTGTTGCTTTCCGCGGCGATGGCCGCCGTTAAAGTGGCGCAGGTGTTATCCCCCCAACTACCTCCCCGGCTGATCCGCTCGTCCCGTAGTGACGGCAGCGGGCTGCGCAGCGGCAAATTTCCGGCCAGGTGGTGAGGTGAGCGAAGTATGCGTTCGAAGGAGGAACGAAAACCCTGATGGCTTGCCGCACTGCCGTTGCGACCGCCTGGCCAACACCGTGGCGACGGATGTGGTGGCTAGGGGAAAAGAAGCCAGCGGCGGTGATGCAAGCGAGGCATGATTTCGAGAGAGGAGCTGCTGCGGCCGCCTGGCCAAGACCGTGGCGACGGAGGTAGTGGCTAGGGGGGACAGGGGAGACAGTGGCTAGGCGAGGTAAGCGTACGAAGGAGGAGCAACAACCTCGGCGAGTGTGGCTAGGCGCTCGTCCCGCTCCTTCCCCTCCTGCTCTGTCTCTCCCCGCTCCTCCCGCTGCGCCAATGTTGCCTCCCGGGCTTGGCCCGCTATGTTTGTGTAATCTGGACTGCCGCAGACAGAGTCAGCATATATGATATATGGTGTTCTCCAAGTGCAGCAACTGGTTGTGGTCCTATCGCCTATCGCGCTCGCAAGGAGCTAGATTGTGCACCTGGGCGCCGCCCATGATCACAAGAAGCGGCTGCGGCGGTGACACCAGCTCCACTGGCAACTCGGCCAAGGCTTCCGACTCCACCCAGAGCCCCCTCAAGGCCATGTGCAGCTACTAAGGCCGATCCTGCAAGGCCCAACTTGGAGAGCGATCGCAAACCATATAAACCAGCGCAGAAGATGCCACAGCTCAATCAGATCAGTTCCCTCCAGCAGCAGCCGGCAGCAAAACGTGATAAGTTTTCCACCACAAGGAAGGATATTCTACCTCCATGCAGCGCAGGCCCGCCAAAGAGGACCAGTGTGGTGAGGATTCCGATTCATCAGCAATGGCACTTGAGACGCCTCAGGAGAGACCCCATCCATATCATTGGCTCAGGGGCTGGTGGGAGATTCATTCCCAAGTGGGTGGTCTCCTTTGTTCCAGCTGCAGTTATTCAAGTTCTCTTGATCATGGGAATGCAACGGCTACGCCGATTTGGAGGGGAAGTGGGTTCCCGTATCAGAAAATTCAATAAGTGGTTCGGAATTCACACTTGCATGCAACTTAATGTCTGAAGTCACATGTCATCGGACATTAGAGGGGAAGAGGGATGCTATCTTCCAGAGCTCCCAGGCAAGCGGCTCGGTAACCACAGCTTGGGGGAACACCCGCACATTGTACGTAGAGCTACCTGGCAACATCCTCGGCAACCGAGGGCATTTGTTTTCTGGTGTTAGTTTGTGTGAGTAAGGTTAAGCATTGACTCTCCTGGATGCCATGCTTGTCAGTAGCCGCAGGAGTCCTCGAGACGTGCTTCCCTGTTCTCCGAGCTCGGACCCTCCTGTTCGGACTCCTCTGAGTGCAGGGGCCCTGGGACACACAAATAAACGCACACACATAAAAGGATCCCCCATATTTTCCAATATTTTCTGGGTTTCTGTCTTCCCCCCACTTCCCATATTTTCCCATGTTTTCTGGGAGTCGACAATGAATTGTGTCTGTGTCTTTTCCCCTCCTGACCTGAGGCCCAGGCAAGGCCACGGGAGGAACGGCCCCCCCACCTCGCAGCAGGCAGACGGGCAAATCCAAGACTCGCTCTGCTTTTCTCGTCCTCCCTTGTTTTTCTCGGGTCGGGCGAAAGGGGGGGATAGCAAAGGGGGGTTTGAGAATCAGCTCACGTAGCTGACTTTCCCGGCGCCTCCCGCCGCCGGAGGCGGCTCTGTATCGAGGAATGGGCCCCTCGGTGAGGCCGAAACCAACTGCATGCAGCAAATTTCGTACCCCCCCTTTCCAAACCCAAGACTCGCTCTGCTTTTCTCGTCCTACCTTGTGTGGCCACGCGCAGAGGGGGGTAGGGGGAGGGGGGAAGGCTTCTTGGAAGGAGGCTGCTTCGTAGAAGGCGCCGGCCTTACATCTGCAGAGAGTGCCTGCGCCTTCTAAGAAGCAGGGGTGCTTCTAAGAAGCCTTCCCCCCTTCCCCTGCCCCCCTCTGCGCGCCGCCTGCTTGTTTTTCCCCTTGGGCTCCGCGCAGAGGTTGCCCGATGTCGCTGGCGCAAGCCGATTGGCACCTCCTAGCTTATCCTTCGAGTAGGGGCTCAACTACAGAATCGATCTAGATACCCCGAATCTGGGCTCCCATGGGATCTACGAGAAATAGTGGGATACTCCGTTCTTCTACGGAGCCTTCGAAGTGTTCTTTCTTGCGGAGGAAGCAATTTCGGGGTGCGTCAATTCTGTCGCTGCTCCCCTCTTCGAGACCTGCCACCAACCTCGGCCGGTGTCACAGAGTACGAACCTGCAGGTTGGCGTCAGGGAGGTTTCTTCGGGGGCGGCCAAAAAGGGGGGCGTCCAAGAGGAGGGGGCGCAAATCATGGCCGGCGGCATGTGCGCGGCCCATGAGGGTGCTGGGGACGCATTGAAATAAGAAGCAGCGCCGTGAAATATGGGGAGATGTCATGGCCTCCGCGATGATATCTGGCCCCCTAGTCTTGTGGATGCCATGGCAATGGACACCCTAACAGTCCAATCACTGAGTTAAACATGAGTTTTACATGTGTAAAACATGTTCTAAACATGTCTCAAACATGTACAAACCATGTTTAAAACAGCTTTGACACATTTTCAGAC